AACAAGAGTGGCTGCCAAACACACAGTAAGGCTACCACGATTCTCTCCTTTGCTCCCTCACCACAATTCCTCCTCCCACAATACTACGCACATATGTACGTGGGTATATACACACACATTGTATATACCCTTTACATATGTGTTCATCATAGCAAACCACTAAGCTAGTATAATGAGCAAAACAAGAGTGGTTGCCACACACACAGTGAGGCTACCTCGATTCTCTCCCTCGCTCCCTCACCACAGTTCTTCCTCTCACAATACTATGCACAGTGCTAATTATCACCACAATCCTGCTGTTATCACAATACTGGTCACTAAATCCTGTAAATGAATAATTGATCACAAGCTTATTTTGTAAAGGAACCTAGGAAGTCGTTTGAAGAATCCTAGATGGACGAAATAGTGCTGTGGTGCTGTGGCTAGCATTGTGAACATCGTGAACAGCATTGAATCACTGATATTTAAACATTGTACACAGTCATTATCACACTCGGGCTCTTCTGTAATACTATCATGGCAAAATAATACAAGTTATATATATATTTTGACATTATTAGGCGATGCTGTTGTCACAAGCTGAACAGCAGTGCTGTGAGCTCATGCTGTGTGCGTCAGCCTTGGTTGCTCACTCAGTACTGAGGCTCTCACACCTGGGAATGTGGCCCACGATTTTTTTAACGATGGCGTCTGTTTACAAGAACCCTGAGAAAGCTGATGTGAACCTCATGTGGCCGTGGGAGTTTTGAATGGAACGCTAAAAATATAAATACCCGGAGGCGTGTTGCGCATCCCTGTCGAGGGACTGCAGGCGCATTGCGCAGTTGAGAGGTTAACACCTCTAGCTTCTGACCATGTGTGTGCACGTGCATACATGTATATAATGTATATCTAGGTATATAAAAGACTGGTTCATTCTAGAGATTATAGTTATACACAATAATTTAGTTATTGAATTTCTGTAATAGAATTTAGTTTTTGATTCAATATTTAACCCTTTTGTGGCTCCGGGCTATTTAGCATTTGTCACTCACAGGCACGTACCAAAAAAAAAAAAATTCTTTTAAACCTGTTAATTTGTGTTCTCTGATCATGGGAAAAATAATAAAAAAATCGTAAGTGGCATATATTGCCCGCTATAGGGTGGGGAAGTCTGGCAAAAAAACAGGCGCTGACTCAGCGTGCGTCCCAGACGGTCTGTTGCTCGCCAGCTGTCAGGCAGGAGTTGCCACAGAGATAATTACCTAATTATTTCAATGTCTCTGATTGATTTTAAGTAGTTTTTTTGCTGTAACATTATTCAATAGTGTGTAGTGTGATATATTTATATAATAAAATGAGTGAATCATCGCTGTACTCAAAAATATGGTGTGCATATTGTTGATTCAATTATGTTCATCAAACAGTGAACAAATACTTTGTCGGTTATTACACTATATACACAGGTTATATATAAGTATCTGCATGTTTTGTTCACCATAACGAACCACTAAGTTGCTATTATGAGTCAAAAAGCAACGAGGAGTGACCGCCACACACCAGCCAGCCACTCGCTGCCACTCACTCCCTCAACACCTCACTCGCCCACATTCTCCTCCCACCATACTGTTTTTGCTTTTATTCACTATATACAGACGTTATATATAAGTATCTACATTCGTGTTCACTATAACAAACCACCAAGTTGGCATGCTGAGTGGCAGTGGCAGCCTACCACTGGCTGCTACTGCCTCCCTCCCTCAACTCACCTGACTCACCCACATTCTCCTCCCACAATACTGTTTTTGCTTTTATTCACTATATACAGTCGTTATATATAAGTATCTGCATGTTTTGTTCACAACTGTACAACTAAGTTGATATAGTTAGTTCAGGCACTAAGAGACGTCACTACACACAGTCAGGTGGCGGCTGCTTCCCTCACACATTCAAGGTCAGACGCACTAAAATTTCACCCCCAACAATACTGTGGGGTTATTACCCTATATACAGACGTTATATATAAGTATCTACATGGTTTGTTCACCATAACTGTTCAACTAAGCCGGTATAATGCCCAAAGAGTATAGTGGCCACCCCTACCAACATGACAAATTATGCAGATGTTGCCACACCCATCACCAAAATGGCTTCTCCCCCACACTCCTTTTGTTGTTATTACACTGTATATACACGTTATATATAAGTATCTACATTCGTGTTCACCATAACGAACCACTAAGTTGGTATGCTGAGTGGCAGTGGCAGCCCGCCACTGGCTGCCACTCCCTCCCTCACCTCACCTGACTCGCCACCATTCTCCTCCCACCATACTGTTTTTGCTTTTATATACAGACGTTATATATAAGTATCTGCATGTTTTGTTTACCATAGCGAACAACTAAGCTGGTATAGTGAGTCCAGACAGTAAAAGGTGGTCACACAGAGTCAGCAGACAATGCTACCTCCCTCCCCACCAAGATTACTCCTCCCACTACAGCGCTAATTATCACAACAATCCTGCTATTATCAGAATCCTGGTCATTTTTATCACAGTCAGGGGTCTTCTGTAATAATATCATCGCTAAATAATAGCATGAACATGTATATTATGGCATTTTTAGGCGATGCTGTGGTCACAAGCTGAACAGCAGTGCTGTGAGCTCATGCTGTGTGCGTCAGGCTTGGTAGCTCACTCAATACTGAGGCCCCTCACACCCGGGAATTTGGCCCACGATTTTTTTTTAAAATGGCGTCTGTTTACAAGAGCCCTGATGAAGGTGTGTTGAACACCGTGTATCCGCTGGCCGTTTAAATCTTGAGAAGTACTCCAATACATCATATGATGTGGAGCACAAGTTACTGCAAGTCACTGAACACATCATATGATGTGTTGCACAGTTAAAGGGTTAAACAAACGCACTCACTTTCTCTGTTGTGGATGGTACGCCGGGCTTTTGGAGTTTATATGTCTTTAGTCGTGTAGAGAATTCTATTGCGAACACAATGATATCAAATTAAAAAACCCTGGACGAGAATTGAGGTGACAAAGTTGAAGAGAGTATACACTTTTCAGAATTACTGCACGCTCCCGTGAAACGCTAGGGCCCACTCGGCCTAGTTGAGGGCTGGCGGCCTGGGGCCGCCAAAGTGTTAAGAATACCACTGCAAATGCTGTAAAAATTCATACTTGTCCCGACAATGATATAATCTTTTTTTTTTTTTAATTATGTTACAGGGGAGGAAATTGGGCTGAGATGCCAGATTTTCTTATTCTCCATGCTAAAGGCTTGGTACCCATACCATTTAAAATCTCGTAACAATGAAAGGAGGGCAGTATAATATAGAAAGTTTGATAATATTGGAAAAAGAAAACACTACTTAATCGAAAAAATATATTTGTGAACCAAGTTAATTTAATATACATACAGTGACACCTCGGTTTGCGAATGCCCCTCTTTTACGCACTTTGCCTCGGGTAACGTAGTTTGTTGATATGTTTATGGCCAACCTGAGGCATGGCGATCGTGCCTCAGTTTACCAGTGCCTCCCGTCTAATGACAATCACTCTTGAATTCTTTGTAAAGCATTTGTGTTTTTTGGATTTTTGGGTACTTGAACACAAAAGTAATTGTTATATATCTCACCATGGGTCCCAAGAAAGTCAGTGGTAAGGTTCAACCTAAGAAAATAGTTGTGAGTAGAGGCAGTAGAGGATGTCTTCCTCATTAATAAAATGTGTGAAATATAGGCTCACCCAGTTAAAAGCTGTAGCAGGCCATTGTATTGACCTTTTAAATGACAATGTGACTACAATTGTCTGTATACAGACAAGTGTTAAAATGTAGGGAAAAACAAGTGTCTTTAGACAGATTCTGAGTAAGACAAGCAAACATTGAGCCACAACCAGGTCTTACTGGTACTCCTGCAAAACGTAGGAGAGAGAGTACCCCAGAGAAGTCATCACTGCCTGATGTTATAATGACTCCCCTTCCAAACAGTAACACCTATCCTCCTCTCCCCCCCACCTCCTCACCGTCTTCCATACGTTAACGAGAGTCATCAATAAAGGTAAGCAATAACTTGTACATACTTTAGTACTAAAGATTTGGGTAATTTAGGTATAAAATTTACTTTAAGTTAATATTTTTGGGAGTGTGGAACGTATTAATTCAATTTTACATTATTTCTTATGGGAAAATTTGATTCAGTTTATGAACCGTCTCTGGGAACGGATTAAATTCGTAAGGTGAGGTACCACTGTATATGATTTTGATTGCATATCTAAATGTTATGAATGAAAATTAAGACAAATGTGGTGCATTTTCTAGCTATTCAGTATATATAGTTGAAAGTGACCGCATTGTTAACATTGTTAATTTTGCTGTTCAGCCATTTGATGCGTCTGACAATCTTTGCATCGTCGAGTTGGGTGATTAAATTACTGAAATTCATGATCACTCTGGGTTTTAAGAGAATAAAACACAAGAAAGACTGTATGATATATTATGTGCACAACCTTTCATTGCTGCCTGGAACATCGATATATTATGTGCACAACCTTTCATTGCTGCCTGGAACATCGATATATTATGTGCACAACCTTTCATTGCTGCCTGGAACATCGATATATTATGTGCACAACCTTTCATTGCTGCCTGGAACATCGATATATTATGTGCACAACCTTTCATTGCTGCCTGGAACATCTTCAGTTGAAATATGGTGTTTAGCATGCATGGTTAGGGGGATATACATGGATAGAGATGAGGTACAGGTTAGGTGAATCAAGCCATGAGACTTGTGTTGGGGGAATGAGCAGGGTTTCCTCTGACATGACATCTTCATCTATTGGTTGGGGTTTGTGTTAGCAATGAGGCAAAGTCACTGTTCTGTATGTTTATATTAAGTCTCTTTGATGAGGATAGCTTTCAGAATTTGTATTCTGCCATCAGTTGCAGATATCATATTTTTGTGTTAAGCATTTTTCTAGTGAGTGCCACATCGTGATTATTATTATATTATTTTTTTTTTTTTTTTTTTTTTTTTTTTAGCTCCTGCTTGTAGGTGATTTGTGAACTTCCTTGAAAGTTTACTAGTGGTCATACCATTATAGGCTGAACAAACATTACATGCTTCATGGGGGGCAACTGTACTGGTATATCATGTTGGCTTTTTGGAGAGGGTTGTTTGTTCTCTTCAGGTTCATTATTAAGCAGATTTAATTATTAAGCAGATTAAGCAGATCATTATTAAGCAGACTTAATAATGAAGAACATCCCAAACAGAAGAAACAACCCTCTCCAGAAAGCCAATGTGATATACAATGCACTTGCCCCCATGGAAGATGTAATGTTAGTTCAGCCCTTTATTGGTATGACCACTACTAAACTTTCAAGAAGTTGACTTGTCACCTACAAGCAGGAACTCCAAAAAAATTACATGATATCACAATGTCGCACTCACTAGAAAAAAGGCTTGAAACACACAAAAATACTTGATTCTGCAAGTGATTGCAAATAACAAATTCGGGAAGCTATCCTCGCCAAAGAAACAAAAACTACCAGGTAATATAAACATTGAGAACATTGACTTTGCCTCATTACTAACACTGAGACTCCAACCAATAGATGATGCTGTCATGTCATAACAGAGGAAACCCTGCTCATTTCCCCAACACCTAAGTCTCATGGCTTGATTCACCTAACCTGTACCTCATCTCTATCCATGTATATATCCCCTTAACCATGCCTGCTAAACACCAAATCTCACCTGAAGATGTTCCAGGCAGCAATGAAAGGTTGTGCACATATGTCATACAATCAATTTTGTGTTTTATTCTCTTAAAACCCAGAGTGACTATGAATTTCAGTAATTTAATCACCCAATTCGACGATGATGCATAGAAGACTGTCAGATGCATTAAATGCCTGAATAGCAAAATCAATAACACTAACAATGAGGTCACATCCATCCAAATAGGCTTAGACACTCCTGCTGCCCCACTACACCAACTATACAGTATAGTGGACATGTGTGCACAGCCAATATCGACCTGTTGACTCACTATAGCGGCCCTTTGGAAAAGGAGCATTAATGTGACAATAACATCAGAGTTCATGCATGAATTTGACTGTCTATAATTAAGGTGGCTTCCCAAATTTGAAAGATGCTAAATAATTATAATAACTATGTTTCTTTTTCAAATCCAGAATTTGTGTGGTTGTTTTGAGTTGCACTTTCAATATCTGTGGAATTTCCGTCCTTTTCAAATGCAGGATTGTCGTATTCTTGTTTTGTTGCATTTTTACCACATGTTGGTTTGGTTATTTCCTCTGTTGCTATCTTATCTTCTGGTGCTTTAGTTACTTGTTTTTTCATTTCCTCTTTAATTCTCTTCCTCTCTTCTTGTTGCTTGCTGAAGCAGTAGTTATTAACGAAAAAGTATATTATACAGGCAAAGGCAGACACACCAGCTGCCCCTCGGAAGGTGTTACGGATTCCCAGATACCTTATCAGGACGCCACCAGCCAGCCCCCCAAGAGCACGGCCTGCAATATCCAGTCACAAGATTAGTTATATGTCAAAATTTATTTTGTAAGAACATCGGTGATAATGTTTATTTAAAATTTTATTTACTGGATTAACAATTTGTAGATTTAGTCTACAGTATCTAAAATTGTTTAATAAAAAAATAAAAGTTTAATTTGTTCTCATGTGCCAAGACTTTGTCACGTTGAGTCTGATCTTTGCCAATTTCTGCCTTGATTTTTTACCTTGTAATTTGAATAGCAAGCCCAATTTGATTCTCCATCTACAAAATAACTTGTTATAAATTTACAAATTAAAGTAAGTTTCTTTTGCATTTGTGTACATACCACAACCATAGTGGATTCCTCCATACAGCCCCTGCAGTGTAGCAATAGTGGAAGGTGTGGACAGGTCGTCAGCATACGATACAGCAGCAGTCTCCATCAGAGATACAGTAAAGCATTCCAGAGCCTCAAAGGGCATACACCACCATGGATTTGTGAGGAAGGAGTATCCTGAGATAAAAGATTATCATAAATGCTCATGTGCCAGTATGGCCTCTGCATGGCCAATATATGTCTGATTACGAGCATAATTCGGCCATTACTGGCATATGCCAGCATGGCTGGAAGTAAATGCAGACAAAACAAAGATTCTTATTGAGCCAATATTATAAAAATGCTACTGAATCTATTGAGAAAATATAAAACTTTCAATAACCTATCATGCGGACGACATAGAAGGCGAGGCCGAGGATGATGGTGTTGGCATGCCCCAGACGGGAAATGATGGATGCCGAGGCCACAAGGATAGGAATTCCAGCTGCAGTGCCCACTGTCACAGTAAGACCCATTAAGGACCTCTTTGCTCCCAGATCCTGCAGTAGCCAGAACAGGAATGCATCCAGTAGTCCAAAGAATCCACCTGATGAAACATCAAGATGTTTAAGGTCATCATCCTCGTGAAGTTTTACTTACGAAACTTGTATATCCTGTTCTAGATCATACTGACTTAGTCTGTGTTAAACAGTTTACAAGCTTAGAAATTTTGCAACCCTGGGTTATTGTTATAGACAACCCTGTAGCAATTCTTGGCTCATAATCTGTTCAGTAATACAAATTTAAGTCACCATGATTGAGGAAAGATATGCAAGTTTAGTAAGTTGACGAGTAAATGCTTGATAAATCCTGGCTATGGCCCTTGTCTCCTTTCAGAGCAGGGGTGGTATCCAAGCTGAAATAATCAGAGGTATTTTTACTTCCAGCTTAGAATCTGCTAAAGATTTGTACTGTTGGGACCACCACTACTTGAAATGAAAGGAGAGAGATACCAATATACATACATGGAAACTATTTGAGGGTTCAGTTCCTAATCTGCACACTAAAATATATTGTTTAATTATAACAAATTACCAGCAAATAAAATAAATATTAATGGGAATTGAAGTAGTTGTGATAACTGTATGGGTCTAAAGCAGCAATAATCTGGTTCAAATTTTCCTTCTAACCAGTCTCAGGATAGGTTGCAGGGTTGAAAAATTAGACCAGACAAGTAAATACAGATACTGATTATCCACCACAAACGTGTTTTCCCCTGCCACCAACATTAACCATGCAGAGTACTTCCATACAATCAGGGTAGTGTTCTCACACTCCACCTCACCTGATATCAGCATAACCACCAAGTAGACCAAAACCTCAGCATTTTTCAGTAAAGATTTGGCATCCTTGGTGACTTTCTTTGAAGGCATCCTGAAGTCAAGGTTGAGGGTGAGGATAACCAGACCAGCCAGGACTTTCAGCCCGAAGTACAAGTAAAATGCCGGTCTGTGGGAGATAAGAACTGCTGTGTGAAGTTATATTGTGCATTATGTGCCGTGTGAAGTTATATGATGTGAAGCAAGTAATTATCGAAAGAAGGTACAGCCTAGCCTGGAAACCTATTTAGTACTGTTTGGCACAAAGTACAGTACTCGGTAATTCCGTGATATAATTCAGGATGTCAATTCGAGAACAAAAAAGTACTTTCAAGTACAGTACCAGTAATGTAAATTATCAGAAGATACATCAAGTTTTTTGTCAAACACATGACTCAAATTTACATTGGAAAAACAAATAATTCTGATCATGCTGAAAATCAGTACATTTTACAAGGAGTGCACAGCTGTTAGCAAGACAGTGCTGTTCTAACAATATGGTGCACAATTGTGTTTCAGTAAGCACCCACGAGTCATATGTGGGGGTAGGTGGGTGTTAAAATACTATAAAGCATAAGTGCTCTAAGTCAACTACTATAAAAAAAAAAAATTGACAAATGAAATGTAACTCTCTTAGAGCATACCAAATTGCATTAAAGCTCTGTTGCAAAAAAAAATAAAAAAAAACTTTAAGGGGAGGTGACATATTGAGGATATGATTGGGAACAATAACAGAAAAGCCAATGCCATTGGCAGACTACAATCTATTTGTAAATTGAGCAGCATTAAGAAAGTGCATTTCAGGACAATATAGTATAAACCTTTGCCATACAGATGAGGGCTCTACAATGTTTAACAAGCAGGGCCCTCCATATGGTAATGTATTCACAGTACAAGGTGGTACATTGTGAATATTCCCAGAAATGTCAGCAAGCAGGTAATCAGTTCTGGAAAAGATTGCCAACTACCTTCAATCTCCATGCAATCAGTCAAAACATAGTGTAAGCAGAACATTATAATGTCAGCATTTAGTATTGAAGGCAATTTTGATCATGGCAGTCATGTAACTTGAAATATTGTACTGTATCAGTTTATAGGTTCTGGGTTGAAGAATGGAAGGCTCCCATGATAAGGCACAAGCACATATTTTTTTTTTATGTGTCAAAACAATGATGGATTATGGGTGAGGTCGATGAATATGCAAGGCAAATCATAGTTCAGTTTAGACAGTGCTAAGAATGAGGGAGTGTTTGTCTATCTGCACTCCAGTAGGTATGCAACAAAACAGTAAGGAAAGGGTTTTAAAAGCTGAACAGAAATAATCAGTACGTACTGCAAAAGCAAATGGTGAGGTCTACATAAAGTGAATAATAAACCCCCAGTTTGGAAAGAGGAGAGACCTTTCAGGGCATATAAGGAAGAGGGTTGTGCTTGAAACTGCGGTCGGGGACTGAACACCGACCTGCATGAAGTGAGACTGTTGCTCTGCTGTCCAGCCCAAGTGGTTGTGCATCACAATGAAGAAAAATTAAAGAAAAAAGTTTAAGCTCAGTATGATTGGTATAATAATCGATGTATGTTCCACTGAATAAAAGGCATACAGAAATTGTATTTGAAAAAATAAAATAAGACAGAGAGAAAGAGGTCTAAATAAAGAAGTAGAGAAATTAGAGGGTACTAAGGTTGAGATCCATGAAATCAGTGTCAGATGGCATAGGAAAGCCATGTAAGGAAGAACGGCCCAAGACAGGCAAGGAAAGAATGTTGGACATACAATGACAAGTGAAGGTGATGGTCACGTTTGTAGAGTAGCTCCAAAACAGCAACAGTGCCTAACCCTGGAACAAGGAAGAGAGTGATGGAAGGATCGAAGCCTTCTTTACCTGAGGAGAGGATGAGGGATTCAGATTTATACTGGATGCTGAAAGATGGAGGCTTAGGGTGGAGAAGGTAAGTAGCAGTATTGTATCAATGTCCACTATGGTTTCAGCAAAGACATTGCTGAGGATGATGGTGATGAGGATGGACATAAGCTGTTACCTTTAGGGTAGTAGGATTTCAAATAGACCAAGTGGAGAACTGTAAGGAAGAATGGAGACTGGGTTCTGGAGGATCCCATAATGATAGTGGGAGGGCTAAGAAACGGGTTCAAGCATAGAGAAGAGCCTCGAGCCATACATGTCAGGAGTGAAGTTGAGGGGGAAACACTCAATAGCAGTGATCAGAGGAAGCTCATGATGGTTCAAACAACGTATCTGAAGCAAGGAAACAATTTTCGGCCCGAGGACCAGAAGAGGAGTTTGGCAAGGACTCCCAATGAGCTGCGTCAAGAGATTAGTTATTCAGAGAAAAGGCCTTGGCATCAAAGCCAATGTCTCACCTAGGAGAAGGGGATGTTGTCCATACATTTGAGTTCTATAACTGACTCCTCCATTCTATAATAGGCTCATATGAATGAATATGTTAGGTGGTCACCGCCACAGTTAATGCAGTGAGCCAAGAGGGTTTTACAAGGAGACTTGACACATCCAGACTCGCCACAAAGTGGGCAACACACACGTCTGCAAGTTGAGGCAGGCACCATGGCCAAATTTCCAAGTTTTTGGAATTGGAATGGGGAGGGGACATTTTTTAATTAATAAAAACTGGAAAGGGACAATGAATGTCTTCTCATGAATCAAATTTAAAAGGGTTTAAGGGTCTGTGACAAAATTATTATTTTCTCTACTACAAAGATTGCCACTTGAAGGTACAGTTAGATTGAACTTTCAACCTCTATGTAAAGACAGTAAATAAGTCCACACACCTGAAATCTTGTTCTCCTGTGGCATCCATAAGGAGTCCCGAGATAGGGGTGAGGATGATGCCCCCCAGACTGCCACAGAGACGTTGGAGGCCGTAGTCACCATTGTGTTCTCTCAAGATTACCATTGCTGCTCCTCTAGTGAGGGTCATGCTTGTTGCTGGTAGAATGCATTTTTTTAATCTTAGGGTCTATCTTTAGAATGTTTAAATATTATGCTAGCTAACCATTGCACTGTGCATAGCACCTTAAGGTGCTTATATGCATATCAAAAAATTCAAATTCCCCTGCATACACAGGGCTCACATTTGCTTCCTCAGGCCTCCAGTAACCATCCCCTATCTTGAAGAAAAATCCTGAATTCCTAACTTCCCCTCTAGGTCCTTAGTATGAAGATGAGGACTATGTCTGGCACAACACCCATCCAGTGTCTGAACATGCAGGGTGGTCATGCCAGGAGCCAGTAAACTTTTAACAACAGCAAATTAGTGATTACCATGCATATATTTACAGTCAAAATGTGTGCAATGGGAAATTATAAGATTTAGGCTTACATATGCAGTACAGTACTGTATATGCGGAAAAACCACATCTAAAAAATTAGAGAATGCTGAACGCGTTTTTGGCTCAATTCGCCTTCATCATAGCAAGATAGAGAGTGCTCTCTATCTTGCAAGATAAAGAGTTGATTATCTTGCTCTGATGAAGGCGAATTGAGCAGAAAACGCATTTGCATTCTCAAATTTTACAAATGTGGTTTTTCCGCATACTTGGATCAGTGTTTTTGTGATTGCTGTTGCATACTGTATATACATTATATATTATTATGTGTACATATGAATATTTTCAAAGTTATACATAATGAACACCACATTTGGCACATCAATACCAGTTGTTAGAACAAAAACTAAATAAAGTGAGAAACAATGAAAATAAATTGACAAAGTCATTCCTTTGTGCACCTCACCTTATTTCTACTGAAAAAATGCAACTTCTCTGGGCTACTGTAGTTAAACCACAAGACTACTGTACTGTACTTAGATTTTTGTGCTTCGTGGCTGCTAATTAACAATGTCAAATAAAAAAATTATTTTTGTCAGGACAGTTTTTTTCAGCACACCACACGGGTGTCAAATTTATCATGTGCACAGTCCAGAGGTTAATATTCCAACAAAAATTGAATTAGATATGCATCATAGGAGCCCTAAAAGTGAAAGTTTGTGTTTGATAAGTTACCGTTTTTTAACAGGATAAACAATTTCTTGCTGAGATTTCAAGTTGATAAAGACTATGTGGCATTTTGATTCGGTTTGTAACTCTGTAATGTGTCAGATAATAACACCCAAGCCACAAGTCTGAAAATGAGGAACTGACAATGTTTTGGTATGTCCAGGGTATGTCCAGGATCATAATCAAGTCATGTAATATAATAATGATAATACCATTATCTAGATGTGTTAACTAAATGATTTTCCTCGGTCAGCTTATGCTGAAGTGGGCGTAAAGACCAAAATCTTGGGGAAGTGGAAGCTACTGGTAACAATAATCCATAACAACCAGTCCCGAGCAGTTTGGTGAGGCTAGCCCGAGAGTCTGGCCCCCAACTTTGAACAGACGGAAATTCATTCATTCTTATGGTTATTGATGTTTCTCCCATTGCTGGGAGCAGGAACCCTATAAAGCCTGTTGGGGTTTCTAGGCCAACTGCTGAAGTTCTCCAGGATGTAACTCACAACAGTTGCCTATTTATTGCTAGGCAAATAGGAAAAATGTCCAAATAACTTGTTCTGCCTGGGAAAAGAACACAGGACCAATATATTGTGAGTTTCAATTAACTTATGAGGCCTTACCGAGCGTCAGTCCATTGATGAGGCGCATGATGAGGAACAGAACATAGGTTAACCCCCTCCCCGCTCAGCTCGTTGTCGCCGTGTGGGGGCTTGGTGGGCGGCTGCCGGAGTGTGATGCTCCTTGGGACAGTCCTGTCCTTTTCTAGCCTTGTGCTCCTGCTGCCGTCCTCTCCAATTCTGCTGGGCATCTTTTCCTTTTCCTTCTGTTTCGTTTTTCTCCCCCTCTTCTCCTATCTGCTTGCCGTTTCCTGCCGACCTTTTGCTCGTTCTGGTTCTTCCCTTGGACTTCTTCTATTTTGACGCCCGGGTGCTTGAGGAGGCATACTCTTGCACCCGTAGAACTGCAGTACCCGACGTCGAGAGCGAGGGGAACCTTTTATTGTCAATCCCCACTTCGTCACTGAACCCGATCTCGACGGACTGTCGGTTTCTTAAGGTGGCGTTTGTGGGGCGTATACTCACGACGCACCCCTAGGAGGCCCCGACAAGATCGGCGATAGCTTCTTGTTGGGTGTCCTGCCTCTAATTGTGGCTCCATGGTGGGTGTGGGGGCACATTCGTGAGTGAATTCTTCTTTCGTCAAGATGATTACCCCTGCTTCGGCTTCTTCTGGTTTACCTTCTCAGGCTCGTGGGGTGGGCGACCAAGCCCCCGAGTCGGTCCGTATTGGAAGACCGGGCTCTGTAGCCTCCGCTGCATTGGGCCCCGACCTTGCTCCTCCTTTGGCCTCTCTGACTCCTTCCCCTGGCTCCCCTCCCTCCTCTGTGGTTGGGTCGAGCCCCAAGCCCCCAGTGGTGACTACCTCGTCCCCTGGCGCGGCTCCTTCTCTCGTTGTTACTACTGCGCCTTTTAACCCCTCTCTCTCTGGGGGTTCTCACCGCCGTTCTCGTCACGGCCGCCCTCGCTCGATTCCTTCCAGTTCTGCTACCTATCAAGCCTTGTTTGGTCCCGCTTCGTGGGCCAAATATTTTGATCTCCTCCCTCTTGATTCTGCGCCTCCTGACGATTTCTCCCTTCATCGACATCTCATTGATTCCGTGGATGCCTCCATTACTTTTAACCCCACTCGTCTCGGTACGCGTGTCGTTGCTGCTCCTTCTCAGGATGCTGCTTCCCGCTTGGCTGCCTTATCCTGCCTTGGCGAGACCCCCGTTCGGGTCTCGAAGAACGTCCAGTTGAATGCCAGTGTTGGCACTATTTTGCTCCCGCCCCATGTTGCGACCGGTGTTCGGGACCTACGCGACTGCCACGACGATATTCGACATATCCTCGCTGCCCAGGGCCATTCTATTCTCCAGGTGGACACGTTTACTCGTCCCCCTCGTGGTAGTCGCCGTCAACCCCTCCGGGTTGTGAAGATTACCTTTGATGGTAGGACCCTTCCACCCTCTGTCATTCTTGCTGGTGCCAGGTGCTCTGTCCAGGAGTACATTCCTTCTCCTCGGCTCTGCAACAAGTGCTGGAGGTTTGGGCATGGTGCCCTCCGCTGCTCCGGGACTGTCTCTCTCTGTCCTTTGTGTGGTGGCGAAGGTCACTCTAAGTCGGAGTGCGCTTCTCCCCAGGCTCGTTGCCTCAACTGCGGTGAGGCCCATCCTACCTTCTCCCGTGCGTGTGTCCATTACAAGCTTGAGGCAGCCGTCCTCAACTTGAAGCACCGGGAGCGTTTATCTTTTCCTGAGGCGAGGCGCCAGGTTCGCCGGCTCCCGCCTTATGCTAATATCTCTTATGCTCGCGTGTTGCGCTCTTCCTCTCCTCGTCCTTCCCGCCTTCCTCAGACTCACAACCGTTTCCAGGCCTTGGACCCTGATGCGCCCACTGCCCCCTCCTCTGTCCCTTTGGGTTCTCTCCCGAAGGATCCTCCTCCTGGTCCTCTGTCTGGGGTTCCCCTTCCTTCTACCCGGTCTGTCGTGTCTTCTGTGTCTCCTTCCTCGTCCCCCTCCGATCCTCCTTCCCATCCTCTTCCTCCATCTATCGGCTCTCCCCGCCGCCTGTCGGTGCGGGCGGATGTCCATCGCTCTCCTAACGGCCGTCGTGTGTGCTCTCGTTCGGCTTCTCCTGTTGAGACACTGGAATCCGTTGCCCGGTACGTAGTTGCTGGGACACCGGTCTCTTTAAGTCAGAAGCGTAAGCCTGGCTCCTCTCCTTCCTCTTCCCCGGCGGGTAAGAAGGCTTCGCTTTCTTCCTCAGCTCCTCCTTCTGGCTCTGTTGCTCCTTCCACTCCCGTTTCAGTGCTTGCGCCCCCTGTTCCTGCTATGGAGGTTTCTTTGGCCCCTGCTTCCCTTTCGGTTGCTGCTCTTGCTGGGGTGCTCTCCTCTCTTTCTACTCCCCCTCTTCCTGCTGCTGTCCTTGACTGCTCCTCTCCGTTGTCTCTCCTCCTCCTCCTCCTCCTCCGGACCCTGCCCGCCCACCTCTGATCTGTTCTCCCGTTTCCTTCCCTCCGTCTTTGCTCAGTTTACCCATGCCCCCTAACCCTGACTTTGCTGACCCTGATCCCGACCCTGATATTCTTTAACGTGCTCTGTTGGTCTTTCGCCTTTGTTTCTTCCTTGTTCTCTGTTTTTGTCCTTTCTCTTCTCGTCGTTGTCCATTCTTCAATGGAACGTTCGAGGTTATTACGCCAATTTCCTCGAACTCCAACTTCTGGTTTCGCGGTTTTCGCCCCTTTGTGTCTGTCTCCAGGAGCCGATGCTTGGTGCTCGTCCTGGTCGTTTTCGTGGCTATTCCTTTCTCTCCCCCCCCCCAGCCATTGCTGGGGCTTCTAATTCTTCTGCTCTCTTGATTCGGGCTGATGTTCCCTTTGTTCCTTTACTTTTTCCTTCGCCTCTCCATTGTTCTGCTGCTCGTATCTTTGTGGGGAAATGGTACACAGTTTGTTCCATTTATCTCCCCCCGAGTGTCCCGCTCTCTCTTCCTGATTTGAAACACCTCCTAGACTCCTTGCCGGAGCCTGTGCTCCTGCTGGGTGACTTCAATTGTCGTCATTCTCTTTGGGGTGACGTTCTGACGAATACCCGGGGTCGCCTCCTTGAGCCGTTTCTCCTCTCTTCTTCCCTGTCTCTTCTGAATTCTGGTGAGCCCACTCATTTGGACTCTCGAACTCGCACCCTTTCTTGTCTTGATCTTTCTCTCTGCTCTTCTTCTCTTTACTTAGATTTCACATGGCAGGTTCTTGATGACCTCCATGGAAGTGATCATTTCCCCATCCTTGTTTCCTTTTTCTCTTTTCGCCCTTCCCTCTCTTTCCCTAGATGGCAGTTTGCTAAGGCGGACTGGACCCTGTTTTCCCTCAGTGCTACTCTCTCTGACCTCTCCCTTCTGCCCCTCTCTCGCGCTCTCCTCCTTTTTCATGACACTGTCTTCGACGCTGCCCTCCGCTCTATTCCTCGCTCTTCCTCTCGGGGTCCACGGAAGTGCGTTCCCTGGTGGAATGCGGACTGTGCTCGGGCTGTCCGCTGTAAGCGTGCAGCCTGGAAGAAGCACCGCCGTAGGCAGACGACCGATTCTTTTCTTTTCTTTCGGAAAGCGAGTGCGGTGGCCCGTAGGGCCATCCGTACGGCTAAACGTGAATGTTGGGCTTCTTATGTCTCGACAATTACGTCCGAAACCCCTCTGGCCCAGATCTGGAAGCGTATCCGCAAGATAGCGGGTAAGTTCGTTCCCGATGTTTCACCGGTCCTTCACCTCCATGATACTCTTGTGGCGGACCCGTTGCAGGTCGCTTCCGAACTGGGTTCCCACTTTTCTTCTGTTAGCTCTGGTCTTCATCTTCCCCAATCTTTCCTTCTTCGTAAACCTGTCCTTGAGTCTCGTCCTTTAGATTTCTGCACTCATCTTCAGCTTCCCTATAATGATCCCTTCTCTCTCTCTGAACTTCGTTCTGCCCTGGCCCTCTGCGGTTCTACGGCGGCGGGCTCCGATGGTATTCATTATGAGATGCTTCGCCATCTCCCTCCGAGCACGTCTCAGTATTTACTGAGTCTGTATAATCGGATCTGGGAGTCGTCGTCAGTCCCTGAGGACTGGCTCGATGCCGTTGTCCTCCCTGTTCGCAAACCAGGGTCTCTGGGTACTTCCCCTAAGGACTTTCGCCCTATTGCTCTCACAAGTTGTGTCTGCAAACTCTTTGAACGTATGGTTAACGTTCGTCTGATGTGGTTCCTGGAACACCATCACCTCCTCTCCCCTTCTCAATTTGGTTTCCGCAAGTGCCGCAGCACGACAGATGTCCTGGTGAACTTGGAGGTCTATATACGTACTGCTTTTGCTGCGAAGACCTCCGTTGTTGCCGTCCTTTTTGACCTAGAAAAGGCTTACGACACCACTTGGCGTTATCATATCCTATCTCAACTTCATTCTTTTGGCCTTCGTGGTCATCTCCCTCTCTTTCTCCGCAGCTTCCTCTCTCGTCGTTCCTTTCGGGTGCGCCTTGGTACCGCTCTCTCTCCCCCTTTTCAGCAATACGAAGGTGTGCCCCAGGGTAGTGTTCTGAGCACTACTCTTTTTCTGGTTGCCCTCAATGGTCTTCTTTCCTCTCTTCCTTCTGGTGTCTTCTCCGCTCTCTATGTCGATGATCTTACCCTTTGTTGTCAGGGTGATGATTCGCCTCTCCTTCAACGCCGGCTTCAACTTGCGATTGATGCCGTGTCGTCTTGGGCCACAGGTCATGGCTTCAAGTTCTCTACTTCTAAGACTTGTGCCATGACTTTTACGCGGAAACGGGTTGTTCTTCGTCCCTCTTTGTCACTTTATGGTCATCCCCTTGAATACAAAGATTCCGCGAAGCTTTTAGGGTTATTCCTTGACACTCGTTTGTCTTGGTCTCCCCATATCTCTTACCTCCGTGTTGAGTGCTCTAAGTCCCTTACCCTCCTTCGGGTCTTGTCCCATACTTCTTGGGGGGCAGATAGGCGCACTCTCCTTGCTTTACATTCCTCTCTCGTCCTGTCTAAGCTCGATTATGGTTGCCCTGCTTACTCGTCTGCTTCTCCTTCTACTCTTCGCCGTCTTGATGCTTTGCACCATACTGGGTTGCGCCTCAGTTCTGGTGCCTTTCGTTCGACTCCCGTCCTTAGCTTGTATGTTGACACTGGCTTCCTGTCTCTCCAGGACCGCCGTGATCGCTACTGTCTTCGGTATCTTGCGCGGTCCTTGCAACATCCTTCCTCTCGTCTCTGTCGTGCTTTAACTTTTACCCCTCCTGCGGTTCCTGTTCCTCTTCACCACCTCCCTCTTTCTGTCCGGTTATCTCGCCTGCAGGATTCTCTTTCCGTTCGTATTTCTGATGTTTCTCCTCGTGTTGTTCCTTCTTTGCCCCCGTGGAGGGTCCCTCTTCCGCGGTTTTGTACATCCTTGACTCGCATCACTAAAGCTTTTACCCCTCCTACAGTTCTCAAACGCCTTTTCCTCGAGCACTTTTCTTCTCACTCCCGCTCCGTTTCTGTCTTCACCGATGGGTCTAAGTCAGCGGACGGTGTTGGCTACTCTGTTGTTTTTCCTGATCGCACTTATATGTGTCGCTTGCCTCCGGAGACTAGCATCTTTACAGCGGAACTTTATGCTATTCTCTATGCTCTTCGTCTCCTACTTTCTCGTTGTCAGTCTTCCTTTGTAGTTGTTGTTGACTCTCGTAGTGCCCTCATGGCTCTCGGGTCCTTTAATCCAGTTCATCCAGTGGTTGTCGAGATCCAGCATTGGCTGTTTCTCGTTCATAGTAAATTTAAGTCGGTTGAGTTTTGTTGGGTTCCCAGCCATATTGGTGTGTCTTTAAATGAGCGTGCGGATGCTGCCGCCAAGGAAGCTGTCCGCTCTTGTCCCATCTCTCGTAAGGGCATTCCGTATTCCGACTTTTACCCGGTTATCCATTCCTCAGTCCTTACCCGTTGGCAGGCTTCTTGGTTGTCTGTTACTGGTAACAAGCTACGTACTCTTAAATGTTGTGTTTCCTCGTGGCAGTCCTCCTTCCACCGTAACCGGCGGTGGGAAACAGCTCTGGCGAGGTTGCGTATTGGCCATACTCGCTTAACCCATGGTCACTTGATGGAGCGCCGCCCTGCTCCTTATTGTCCTAGTTGCATTGTCCCTCTTACGGTCGTGCATGTCCTTCTTGAATGTCCTGACTTCCAGGACGAGCGTATGTCTTGCTTTCCGACCGCCCCTCGCGGTCACCTGTCCCTCGATAGAATTCTTGGTGACTCGGATACTTTTGATATCGTTCGCCTTATGCGTTTTTGTTCTCGTATTGGCATCCTTGGTGATATTTAGCGCCCTCTGATTATTTTGCGTATTTGATGGTGCTACATAGCCTTCCCGGTTTGGTGCCTTCTTTTGATAATTACTTACTTACTTGGGCGGGAGAACTTTCAAAACATGTAACAAAACGCAACATGGGGACATGTTGCGTTCAAAATTAAAATATTTGTTAAAGTTCCATTTTATCCCGATCCTTATGGGACGTTTTAAGATGTGCTCCAACGTTTTTCCATTTTCTGTGATGGCCTATGTGGCATCACGGCACCGCCTCCCACGCAGTAGGCCCATGCTCGTGACTGCTGCGGTCTCCCCTCATGTCCAGCACATGAGCCTGTTCCGGTTATTTTTCCTCAGCTATATTTGTTACTGCCTTTATAAACACTACATTTACTCCAAGATGGATGTGATCAAGAACAGAGCCATTCCAGGATGAAAGGAAAAGAAACACGTCTGAGGGAGAAGCTAAGTTGTGTTCACCATAAGTACCGCAAAGTAAAACTCACAGCAACAAAATTCCAGGCTTTAGTTGAAGAATTTTCTGATCTTGATCTTGAAAGTGCCAAAAGTGACAGTGAGGTGGTTGAAACTGAAACAGCAGGTGAGGATGAAATTGAAAGTGAGGAGAGTGATGATATTGATACTGCTATTGGAACTCGTACTGGACGTACTGCTCATCCTCAACGTATCCCACGCACCTGTTCTGGTGAAGCCTGGTCTACTGACAACACTGCACCATTAGCAGACAGTTTTACTGAAACACCAGGCTTGACTGTACCAGTATAAGCACTCAGGGATTTTTAGTTATTTATTACACGAGATTTGTTGAAATTTATGGTATATGAAACAAACTTGTATGCATCACAAAGCCTGTACAATCCTTCTAACAACACAAACAATGAGTAGGATGAAGTGAGTGTAAAAGAGCTTGCCAGATATTTGGGACTGACAATGTTGATGGGCATTGTGAAGATGCCAATGCTGAGAATGAACTGGCAAACAGGTAAATTGCAGCATGTACCTTCTTTCAATAATTTTATGACTAGAGACGATATGAATCGAAAAGTATTTTCATACTCAACAATAATACCATTCCCAAAGACAATCAAGACAGACTAATAAAAGTTAGAATATTCATGGCATATCTCACACATAAATTCAAAATATTATACATTCCTCAGAAAAATCTGTTTGGATTAAGGCTTAATGTCGTGGAGGGGCCGTCTAGTTTTCAAAGTTTATAATCAAAATAAACTTGATAAGTATGGAGTAAAGCTGTACATGATAGCTGAATCGCAAACTGGTTACATACTTTGATTTTGAAGTGTATGCAGGAGTTGGGAAGACAACAATTCAAACAGTTCTGGGCTTGATTGAATCACTGAAGAACATAGGTTACCATTTATATATGGATAACTACTATAACTGTTCGACTGAGTGAAAAGCTGATTGAACAAGGTGCATATACCTGTGATACTCTCAGATTGCAGCATGGTGCACCAAAAGATCTTCAGCTACAAGCAAAGGTAAACTGCCAATAGATAAAATAATACTTTTATAATTCTATGGAAAGAGTTGTTTCACTCATCACAACTTGCTACAATGCAGATACACAAGAAGTGAAACGAAGGAAACGAGTACGCAAACCTGATAGAACATCTACATTGCAACAGGTCACTGTGAACAAACCAAAGGCAATCTGTGATTACAATAACCACCAGAAAGGCGCTAATCAATTCGACCAAATGGTCAAATATTATGAATAAATCCACAAGGCCGTGATGAGGGTTTGAACTTACGTCCAGGATGATCCCAAACGCGCTTAAATCGACTGCGCCACGGTATGGAAAAGAATTGCAACCAGGAGTGCTACTGATCTCACACGGATCTCACAATCTCTCTGAGACCGAGACAAATTTATTCACTTGATATATCGCATTATTGTGATTTCTGTATGTATTGGTCAAATATTGTAATTTCACACGGAAATGTCACGTGGACGAAGAAAATCACGTTCTATTTTCCGCAAATGGCCCTTATTCCATTTGCCCTTATATGCATATATCTCTTTAGAGAATTATATTCTCTAAAAAACAATTTGATACCAAAATGAACGACGTAACATGAAAATTTATGTTATCGAACTGAAAAGAGTAGTAACATTTGAGTGCTGGTGTGCCAGTGGGTGCTCGCAAATAGGTAACGCTTGACTGATTTTCGGGTTTGCTGCGGATGGGGGGGGGGGGTGATTTTTTTACCTTATATGTATATATCCCTTTAGAGAATTCTATTGCGAACAATTTGATACCAAAATGAACGACGTACCGCGACAATTGAGGTGAGAAAACTTAAAAGATAACACATCTTAATGCGGGTGCACGCTCACGGCCGACCTTGGGGTGTTCCCCAAGTTGAGCGCCGGGCCGCTCAGTGTTAATATTTGATTCATATTGCCTGGTTAAGCATCATGACAACAGTATAGAGATGTGCAGAGGAATATACCTGAGAAGAACAAGACCACTGGGCCACCTCCAGGGTGGTGGTGTCTCTAGCTAGGCTCGCATTCACAGTCCTCCACCCATCTTCCTCAGCACTTCCCCACGACCTGGTGAACGATAACAATCACATTAACACTGTTGTTGTTGAAATGTGTGTCGTTGTTGAAATGTGTGTCGATAACACACATTAACACATACTATTATACTGTCTGCAATACACAAACCGACGGGTGCACCTAATTTTTCTGTGTAAATACACAGATTATATTATTGCCATCGACAATAATATAATGAAATTGAAATTGAAATTGAAATAAGTTTATTGAGGTAAAATACACACAAAGGGATGAGGTAGCTCAAGCTATTCTCACCCCATTCAGTACAACGTGTTAATATATACATAGACACACATCACAAATAAACACATTACCAAACATTCTGAGAGGTAAACATATACATTTCCTCCTTCACAAGTAGTATGGTATCAGACGTACACACAAATACTTTTATGACCTAGGTATACTGTATAGACAATTTGCAAGACACCTGCAGATAATTCAACAAAATATTACAATCTTGGTGCAATATTCTTATATCTCTCAAGAATATCATCAACCTTTCCGTTGTGACACATCCAGGCTATTTGTTCAGGAACAGTCCTTATCTCAGTGTTTCTATATACATTAATCAACGGACAATCAAGAATATAATGGGCAAGGGTGTGAGACCTTAACATACCACATAGTTTACACTTCGTGTCATTATCATGAACATCTATCCCATATTCCCAGTAATATTTGTACCCAAGCCTGAGCCGCATGTACACAGAGTCACTCCAAGCATTTCTCCTTTTACCATAAGTGAAATGGGTGTTTTGACTCACATACATGTAGTGTTGCATGGTTTGACTTCTCTCATACATTATCTCTCTCCTCTCCACTCCCGCCCGTGCCTGAATATTTCTGATTTTGCTTCTTATTTGTCTCATTGTGAATTCACATTCAATGTCAACTTGTGGTTTTGATGTGGCACGTTTGGCCAAGTCATCCGCCACCTCGTTGAGCACTATTCCAACATGAGATGGAATCCACATGAATTTCACACTATAACCTTTCAGCTGTATCTCAGTTATTCTTCTCTTACAGTCCTCCACTATAGACATGAAGACTGGGTTTCGACTGTTTAAGGACTCCAGTGCTCCTCGGCTATCGACAAATACAAAAACATTTTTGTCGTCATGACGTACTTCCTCCAAACACGCCAGAATGGCCTGCAGTTCAGCTTGTGTGGATGATATATAATTACTAAGCCGGAGTTCAATTATCCTGTCCACAGTCCCAAACTCCGTATAATCCCTTATTAGGACACCACACCCGGCCCTGCCATCCTCCTCCCCCAATATAATGGGGCTAGTTTATTGTACATCCCACTTTCCTAATGTATCTTACAAAACACTTATGAATGTATTACTGTAATAACATGCATTTATATATATATATATATATATATATATATATATATATATATATATAATATATATATATATATATATATATATATATATATATATATATATATATATATATATATATATATATAAAAGGAAAAAGAAACAATAAATTAATTGTGCTTTCGTGTAAAAAACACATATTCCGAAGTGCATACATCTACATACAAACATACTGGTGGGTGGGTGGGCAATCGGGTGACGGACACTACATCTTCACTACATATTGTACTATGTTCATCATTGTAAACCATCTTGCCTACACCCCTCCCTGCCCATTACTACCCTCTTCTATTACCACCCCCTCTGACCATTACCACCCTCCCTGCCAATTACCATCCTCCCTGTCCATCACCATCGTCCCTATCCTTCACGAACTTTCCTACATATCACCACCTTCCCTACTCTTCACCACCTTTCCTCTCTTCTTCAAGCTTGTTTAAAATGTATTTCTAGCTGGAAGTAGTGATCCATATAATAGAATAGCAAGATTTCACAATGTGACAAAATTCACCCGACATTTCATAAGACAAGAGAGAGACCTTACGAGGGATAGGTGCAATGTGTGCAGTTTGCCAGAGTGAGGTTGATGCTTTCAAATTTAGGCAGAAAGTCACACTTGTAAGGCTCCTGGAGGCTGAGGTGGGGATGAAGGTCTTCGGGCTGGGCACATGTGAGGTTGAAAGGCAGAAGGTCTGGCAGAGCTATTTTTTGGCGACCGACAGGCACAGCCAGAAAGGTGAGCACTGCGACACCGCTTGAAACTGTCAAGGCACTCAGTAGCACCTGTAAAACATCAGTGGTATTAATACACTTGTACATTCGTCCAAATATCTTTAGTGAGCTGGGTGCTTGTCATAAACCTCATTTTGTGTAGGTCTTGTAAATAGAGCTTATAATTCCCGTTGTCGGGGACCGGAAGCCTGCACAGTACTTTGAGTTATTGATATCCCCCTAGGTCCCTACTGACTTACCCACAACAGTTGTCTAACTCCCAGATACCTATTAGCTGCTAAGTGAGCAGAGAAATCAGGTGAAAAAAAGAAACACGCACGCCATTTTCTGTCCTGCCTGAGTAATAAACCTGGGTCCCTTGGTTGTGAGACAAGGATGAAAGCATCAAGTGACAATAGTTATTTTGTTTGCCGAAATGTGTCAATTGACGTTAAATTTCAGTTATAAGAGTTTCGCCCTTATATACTAATTTCTTTACTGCCCATTAATCATGATGCTGGGGTTCTGAACTAACCTAAATCTGGAATACTTTTATATACTCATTATTTTAACGAGGTACAAATAGTTTATTAAAACTGAAGTATTTAAGGTGAATTTGCAATCAATTACATGTTTAAATCATATTTATCGTATATATAACGAATTATTATTAATAAACTGAAAATTCCTAAAAACGTTAAGAAATTTAAGAATTATCAAGTATTTAATCATTAATGATGACTATTATTATTAATTAATTATTTGTATTTAAATAATTAATTATTATTATAAAATAAAATAAGTCCCCCACTCTGTGAGCGTTTTCTTCCAACCGCAGAAATGAAGTTCATTTATTGTCTGGTTATCGATGTTGTTCGTCGTAGATGGGTTGTCAGCATAATGAATTAAATATTTATTTAAGCAATTCTCTTTATTAAATTAGGCTGAATTATGTTAGGCTTCCTGACATGACAATGTTAAACGATATAGTTCATATATCAAACAATAGATAAGGTTTCGCAGAAAGTAATCCAGACGCCATACCTTGAAGTTGCCAATCTTGTCAGCGAACAACCCAGTGATGGGAGGTCCCAGAAGTGCAATGATAGGGTTAATAGCTAGAATAATGGACAATTCGTGCTCCTGGATGCCCAGCGACCTAGCCAGGATAGTCATGAACGGGAAGAGGGTACTCATGGCTGTAGGGAGGAAAGGATAGAAGCTTAATTAAGTGTGAAGTTTAATGTCTGCTGGAATGATGTGTTGATGCGGAAGTGAAATCTTATCCCAACAAAATTTGGACATTATGTTACGATGATATTAGTTGACAGTTTGTCACAAATGTAAAAATGCTTGACCTAAAGAACATTGGGCCCAGTTCTTGAACCCATTATATTTTTATTTCCCGAGGTCTTTAGAAAACTACTCATTACTGACCTTCCCGATGTGCAGTCCACAACAGTAATTAACTCCCGGCTGGGTACTTATTTTACTGCTTGGTGAACACAGGAGAAAGGAAATGGATATAAAGAAAAAACACATGGTTGATTCACAGGGAGATGGTGCCGCGTATGATAATTATATTAATTATATATCTGTCGTGGGTTGCATCAGATGGAAAACGTTTGTTAGCAGTTAGTGACCCAGGGGAAGCTCGATAAGTCTAACAGGGTTCTTGTCCTTGATAACAGGAAACTACGTGTCATTAAAATGGGAGCAATTGTCATTATATGGAGGCTCGCCGATGCTTCCACGTCAGTCGCAGAGATTTGTGAAGTGATATCATGTCCCATGTAAAGTTACAGGAGTTGGTAGTGGCTTGCCGCTTTGGTCGACCGGGGACGTGGGTGTCTGCCCTCCCTGCATTTGCCGTCAAGTGGTGCTTGGGTGTTCGTCGGTGACGCTCCGTGATGGGGGGGAACCTCTTCCCCCTGTTGTGCGTGTGAACTCTGTGGGCCTGGAAATTTTTGACCGTGCCGAGTATCCCGAAGTAGAAATTGTAATGTGTGACATGCTCTGTGTCTCCGTGGATGTGATTTACAGTATTGAACTGGTTACCGCTCATCGAGTGATTGTCAACCGTGCGTTTCTCCAGTGCTTCGAGGGGGCGATCCTTGCCCCTGCCGGGTGGTGCCGGCACTGTGGAGATTTCCGATCGGAGTGGTGCACTGACGTATGTGAGTGTTCATGAGGAGCCCTTGGAGTTTCCCGAGGACCTCCTGCAGCGTTACTTCGGGAGGTTTGGTGCTGTCGTCAGTGTGAGGCTGCACAAGCTTTCCTCGGGGAAGTTCCAAGGTTTGTGAACGAGCATTCGGACCCTGGGGATGCGCCTGAGGGCGGACATTCCATCCTCCGTCCGGCTCCTCGGATATTATGTTCGGGTGTATTATTTCCAACAACCGCGGACATGTTTTCGGTGTGGCTGGGGCATCGGGCTGCCGGGTGTTTTGAGGCTGTCATCGCCCCCGTGAACCTCTTCCGTGAGGAGGATTTTCCACCACTCCCTGTGGAGGAGGATTCGGTGAGTGGGGATGTGGCCATCTCGTTAGTTGCTGGGGGCCCCCCTGTGGCGGCCGACGCGTCTCCTGCTGTGGTGGCCGACGCGTCTCCAGCTGTGGTGGCCCCTCTTCCAGGGGTTATGGTGCCTTCGGATGTTCAGCCTGCTCCTGTTGGTGTCCCTGATGGTCCCGTGGGTCTTCCGGTGGCTCTCTGTACGTCGTCTTCGTCTTCTCCAACTGTTGCGCATGTCCCTGCGCCTTCGCCATGTGTCTCGGCTGTGCTGGGGTGGATACAGGGCCTCCTACTGTGCTCGGCCTGGTACCCCATGTGGTTAAGAATGCTGCCGTCCTACGGAGAGCGTCGGTTCGTCCGGCTTGTGATGCCCGTGGCTCTGGGTCGGCCTCCGGATCTGATGATGTGCGGCCAGAGCCCAAGCGTTCTTCTTCTGCCCGGGCTGATGTGGGAGATTTCGACGACTCTGGATCTTCCGGCGATGGCGGAGTGGTTCCGGTTGCGTCACATTCTACGATGGTGGCTGAAGTACATGTGCCTGCGGCTGACGGTGACAGTGTCTCGGACTTCCCTTCTGGTGTGGTGCCTGTGGATCTTGCTTCGGGTGCGTCGCCCGCGTTGGATGGTTCCGGTTCTTCGTGGGGGTGGTTCCCCCTGATGAGGTTCATGGTCACCGTGGTGACCTGGTGGTGGTGTTGAAAAAGGCTGCTCGCTTTGGGGGTTCGGTGCCCCCTTCCTCATTCCCTGTTTCATCGGCGGCGGTCTTGCCGCCTCTCCCGTCTCCGGCCGTCTCTTCTGTATTTTCTGCGGTGTCGCAGGAGGTTACCGTCTCGGAAGCTTTCGCCTTCTCCTGTGCGTTCGGCGGCGAGACCGTCTCTGCGGCCTACGTACACTTCTTCGGTGTCTTCTGCTTCCTCGGAGGGTGTGTTTCGCACTCCCCTGCCTCGTTATGCGAGTTGCGTCGGCGAGCTTCGAGAGTGACCGTTTCCGCCTGATTTGGCGATTCCTGAGCTTATGCGGGCCCCGAGGAGGTAGGGGGATCGTTCCCCTACCGACATGGAGTATTTGGTTTGGGAGGCTTATAAGCACAAGTATCCTCTGGATAAGTTCCCTGAGAAATATGTTCCTGTCTCCGAGAAATGTCTTCCTATCGCGTGATTCCTTTGTTTGCTATATGTTGTGGGTTGTTTCCATTTGTGTGCATGGTTGTAGGTCGCATGTGTGTGTGTTGGTGGGGCGGGTTGGTTTTCCCGGTTTCTACGTGCTCCGGTTTGTGGTTGTGGGTTTATTTGTGTGGATTGTGTGTGTGTCCAGTTCCTGTGCGTTCCGGTGTTTGTTCGAGTGTTGTGGTTGTGGATGTCCTGTTTTTATGTTTATGTGTTTTTTTATTATTGTACTGGTTGTGCGCTTGTTAGTATGGTGTTAAGTGCCCTTCAGGCTGCTAGCGTGGCCCGGCCTGGTTTTGTTCTCACTGTCATGTATCGCGGTTGTGCTTTTCTTTTTGTTTCTGTTATATATTTGTATTTCCTTTTTTGTTATTATTATCATTTTGTATTGGTGCCTCTCCGTGTGTGGTATCCGGGGCCAGTAGGATTGTTTTGTATTATTATGTTCCGGTGTTTGGGTTGTTGGGCGAGGGTTTGGGTGTTATAATGTTGTCATTTCTGTACTGTATTCCACTGTGTTTGTAATTATTGTTGTGTTTTTGTGGTCGGTCATTCCGGCCGGTGTTTTGTGATTTAGAACTTTTGTTATTTTGTAATTTTGCGAGTTTGTACTTTTGTATTCTGCTTTTGTTCTAGTTTGTTTTCTGTTTTGTTTTATTGTACTTATACGCATGCTTGCATGTAAAAATAAAAAATAAAAAAAAAACATGTAAAGTTACGGTCACTTTTTTCCTAGTGTGGTGAGGAGTACGCTCCCGGAACAACCACAGACTACACACTGACTCAATGGTCGGAACAGTATCAAAGAGTAACGTTGAATCAATGCTATTCTTAGATATTGTGCCCACTGGGAAATACCTGTTGGTTTGTGTGTGTGTGTAATTACCTGAGTGTAGTTTCAGGATGAGAAGAACTACGCTCGTGGTGACCCGTCTTCCCAGTTCGATGTAATTTAACACTGAAACTAATGACGGGTTTTGCCTCCACCATCACTTGTTCCAACCGTCTACCACTGTTTGCAAAAGAAAACCGTCTAATATTTTTTTTTCGTCACGTTTGTTTTCTTAGCTTGAATCTGTATTCATCTAGTTGTGCTTGCGGGGGTTGAACTCTGGCTCTTCGGTCCCGCCTCTCAACTGTCAGTCAACTGGTGTACAGATTCCTGAGCCTACTGGGCTCTATCATATCTACATTTGAAACTGTGTATGGAGTCAGCCTCCACCACATCACTGCCTAATGCATTCCATCTGTTAACTACTCTTTACACTGAAAAAGTTCTTTCTAACGTCCCTGTGGCTCATAAGAACAAAGGCAACTGCAGAAGGCCTGTTGGCCCATACGAGGCACAATGTGGGTACTCAGTTTCCACCTGTCCCCCCTTTGTTCGATTATCCTCCCGTGTTAAACAATTTATCTTTATCTACCCTGTCGATTCCTCTTAGAATTTTGTAGGTAGTGATCATGTCTCCTCGAGCTCCCCTATCTTCCAGCGACGTTAGGTTCATTTCATGCAGCCTTTCCTCGTAACTCATGTCTCTTAGTTCCGGGACTAGCCTAGTGGCATATCTTTGAACTTTTTCCAGCTTCATCTTATGCTTAACAAGATACGGGCTCCATACTGGGGCCGCGCGCGTGTGTATGTGGTTTGCACAGTGCTCATCTTCAGGGAGCAAACAAAACATGGAATAGTATCACCCACATAACTGCACGACTAACGGTCAGGAAGGAAGCATATATATATATAAATGCAGAAGCAGGCATCGGTTGGCCCTTGTGTGTCAGGGACGAATAGTGTACTCACCTAATTGTGTTTGCGGGGTTTGAGCTCTGGTTCTTTGGTCCCGCCTCTCAACTGAGGTACAGGTTCCTGAGCCTACTGGGCTCTTATCATCTCTACACTTGAAACTGTGCATGAAGTCTGCCTACACCACCTCACTTCCTTGTGCACTCCATTGTCAACTACCCTGACACTAAAAAAGTTCTTTCTAATATCATTTGGGCATTCAATTTCCACCTGTGTCCCCTAATGAGTGTGCCACTTGTGTTAAATAGCATGTTTTTATCAACCCTATCAATTCTTTTGAGAATCTTGTATGTGGTGATCATGTCCCCCTAACTTATTTCTTCCAGCGACATGAGGTTTAATTCCCGTGGTCTCTCCTCGTAGCTCATACCCTCTCATATGGTATGAGTACCCTCGCTTACTCATACGTAGCTCGTGGAGAAGGGTTGGGGGGGTGGGGTAGATCCAAGGCTACATGGAGGTCCTTAAACGATAAGACGCCCAGTGGAATAATGAAGTACGTAGTGGAGTTACTGTGCTCGGGAAAGATTAGAAGTGTACTAGTTTGGATAAAATAAGGTTGGTATGGTGTGTCAAGTGCTGCCATACAGTCCATGCACGAATTTTGTGCCTCTATATTTTTTTTCCACTATCGCCCTCAGGATGGATATTGGGTGCTTATTAGCTAGATCGTGTCCGGGGGCACCTAATGCAGGACGTTTCGACACAATTTTGACTA